CAGGGGCGCCAAAAACCACAAACTGGGATGACATGAACTGCAATAAATGTGTGTGAAGAAAGCTGTTTGTCTCAGGGCACCAAGGAGGAGGCGGGGGGGGGGGCGCTCTGGAGGGGACTCCGAGGGGAGAGCACGGGAGGGACAGGCCAGGCCAAGCCCCTCCCCAATCAGGCGGGGAGTCCTCGGCTCAGGATGGGGTCTCTAAGCTCCTACGCACACACGCACACACAGAGCCAGAAGCAGCCTGGATCCAGCTGAGGGGTCGCCCAAAGAAAGGAAACGGGACACAGTTGTACAACCGAGAGCTTTATCAGCTGGAATGAGGAGTGCATCACTGGGACCTTTTCCCAAAAGCAAAGTGAAGAAGGGAATAAAGAAAAGGGGAGTGAACAGCACAAGGCTCAGTTGCCAGTTGCATTGCAGAGAAGAGGCTCCTGGAGTGGGGGGGGAAGGGGGGAGGGGCCTGGGAGTCTTGGGGGGGCAAGGGGGCAAGAGTGGGTTAGTCATGCACACCCTCCCCCCCCCCAGGGAGCGCAGGGAGGGAGGCCAGAGGCCCTGAGGGCACCCCCTGTGCCATGCAGGCTGCTGGAGGCCAAGGGAGACCAGTCCATTTCCCCCAAGGGAGGGGGGTGACGCAGAGGGGAGGAATGTCGAAACAGCCCAATTTCAATCCACACCTAGAAACAAGGGCACAACGGAATGCACCGGAATCTGCAGCCGCTTTTCTCTGAGGTCACTGGGGGCCAGGCGAGTGGAGGAACAAGAGAGGGTGGGGGGGCAGCCATTCCCAAGAGCTGGCTGGATTTCAGGGCAAAGACATGCAGCAGTGATTGGGAGACAGGGATCCGGGAAGTGTGTGTGGGGGGGAGCCCACTAAAGGAGGAGCCAGGAAAGGGGTGGACAGCACACACACCCCTCCACCTATGGGGCTGGCCTCCTTCCCAGGGGCTTCCAGGGTGCACAAAATGGGGCAACTGAGAAACGGGCGGGAAGGAGGAGGGGGCACCTATGTCTGCCTTTCTCTCCCCCAAATTGCCAGAATAAAACTACATCATTGCAACACCCCCCACCCCCACCCCATGGAAGGCCTCTGCCCCACTCCACACACACCTGGCTGGGACCCTGCAACTTCCCAAGCTCTAAGGGGAGCCATTGGTCCAGAGCCCTTTCTCTCGTCAAAAAGAAAATTAGCACGGATCCATCGTCCGATGGGCAGCGGCCACTTTGAGTGGGACACGATGCAGCCTCCGTGGGCAGCCTCCCCTCTCAGGAGCCCCAGCTGAAAGGACAGAGAGGCTGGGGGCTTCTGACCCCCTCGCAGGCCCCTCCTCTGGCTCCGGCCCCTCTGGCGACGGGCAGCAGAGAAAGGGAGGGAGGGGTGGTGACGGTGGGCTGGGGCCGGCTGCCCCCTGCACCTGGCTAGGGAGGGGCTACAGCTCCTCATAGTCTCCAACCCCCCGCTGCTTGCTGGCCCCAGCACCGCCCCCCAGGAAGGCCTCCAGCTCATTGATCCCGTTGGGCTTGGCTTTGCCCCGCTGCTGCTTGGAGGGCTTTCTCTTCTCCTTCTCTCCCCTCTCCTCCTCCTCCTCCTCGCTCTTTTTCGGCCGGCTTTTTCTCCTCCCGGAAACCTTCTCCGCTTCTTCCTGGAAAAGCAGTTGGGGAGAAAGCGTGAAGTGGGAGGGGGGGCATCCCCCAAGCAGCACCCCAAGAGGCCCAAAGCCACCTGCCCCGCAGAGCCTGCAAGCGTGGGAGGAGTGCAGAGGAAGGCAAGGACTGTGCTGGGTTAAAAAGGGGCCGCTCTGAGCAGAGCCTGGGAGTCTGTTTTGCCCGCATGGGTCCCTTTGGGGGCTCAGCTCAGAAACATTTCTTGCCCCCGGACAAAGGCAGCTATGCAGGCGACCCACCTCTTTGCTGGTCCTCTTCTTCTTCTTCTTCTTCTCCTTCAAGGACTGCTTCTCTTTCTCTGCGGCTGGGAGGCGGAGGGGCAGGAAAAAGGAGGGTGAGCTTCCAGCCTCCGTCAGCGTGAAAAGCCCCCGACCGATAGCATGTTTATTAGGGGGAAGGGGCCTTTGTGGCAATGCACAGCTGGGGGAAAGCGCTGGGGCCTTATCTGCAAGGCAGGGTCTGATTGTGGCCGAGGCTCCTCACCTTCCTCGCTGCTGTCCCGGCCCACCGGTTTCTGCAGCCCCAGCCCAAAGAGATCGGCCTCGTTCTTCACTCGGAAGGAGCGGGTGACGGGCTTGGGCAGCTGGGGAGGTCTGGAAGGGGGATCCTCCTCGGAGAGGTCCGAGAGATCCTCTCGCACTGGAAACTCCTCCTAGAGGCAAAGGGGAGAAGGCCCCTCAGTGCCCACTGTCGCCCCCTTGTCAAAACCACAGGGAAGCCCTCTCCTCGGACCCACATGTGCTTCTGAGAGCGCTTCCTTGGGGAAACAAGAGCCCTGGCCGACCCACAGAAAACATGCGATGGGCCGAACCGAAGGCCCAGCGTAAAGCCTCCCAGGAGGGGCCCCGGCTGATGCTCAGAGACAGCCTGCCACTTTGCTTCAGTCTCCCCCGTCTAAACCTTGCCAACCTGGGTGAGGGCAGGGCAGGGACTCACTGGACGCTTGCTCTGGCTCTCGGACTCCTCGCTTTCAAAGTCTGGATCGTCCATCACAAAGGAGAGCATCTGCGTGGCGAAGGGCCCCTCCGAGTCGCTCTCGGACTCCTGCTGCTTGGGGGCAGAGTGCACTGGGGGCGGACGGGCCTCAGGGTCCCCGGCTGCCATCGCTCTCTTGCTCTGCTCAAGGGGGGGTTGGCCAGAGGGAGATTTCAGCTCTGTGGATGTGGAGGGTGCCAAGGGCTCTGGGAGTCTCAAGGACTTTTTGGAAGCTCTGGAGGAAGGAAAAGGAGAGTGAGGACTGTGCCCGGAGGCCTCAGGGTGGTTCAGCAGCCACAGTCTGCGCTCGATGTGGCTCTGCAGAGACACCACCTGCTTCAGCGGCTCAGTCAACAAGGCCTGCGTTGAAGAGGGAGCTGCCGGTTCTTCCGTTCCACACACAAACATTTATCACCCGTTTACGCCTGGCGCAGGATCTTCAGTCTTTTGGGTTGAAATCTAGAGGATTTCATGTCACGGGGAAAAACTGGACGGGGCAAAATCCCACAAACCCTGAATCTGCAAAGTTAACAACCCGCAACTCTTCCTTCCTTCCCTGTCGAGACAAAAGACTTTTTTCCTTACACACGGACTTCCCGACACATGAACCGAGTTTCCCTAGATGCTATATTTTTGTTTTTAAAGTTTGCCACGTTCTCTTGCATTTTTATATAAGGCTTGATGAAAAGTTTAAATGATATATTTCAAACTGAGCTGCAATGGTTTTTGGCTTGCTAAAGCTGGAGCCGAGAACTTCTGCTCCCCTACACACTGCAGTATGTAGCTCCCTTTCCCTACGCATCTTGCTATGGGCCGAAGCAGCGAGGGCTGCTGGGAGTTGTAGTCGGCAATACCCCACAACTCCCGGCGCCCCCTTTACCGTTTTCTTTCTTGTTCTAAGGCAGCATCCTCAGCCCCCCCTCCAGAGAACTTGGAGGGTTCTTCTTCCTCGCTCGACAGGTTCACGTTTTGGCTGGGGACCAGCTCTGCTGCTAACGGGGGCTTGCTGAAGAGACGCTCGTCCAGGTCCAGGTCATCCTGGAAGCCAGCAACCAAGGGGTTCCCACCAGGAGCATCTCTGTCACTGCAAGGAGAAAGTCATGGGCCATGACACAGCCTGCAGGCGGAGGAGGAGGAGGAGGAAGCTTCCTCCTGAATCCAGCCCAAAGCTGCCGAACAGGGTTTCCCACCTGTCACTGTCGGTGGGAGCCTTTCCTGCCTGTTTCCCCCCCTTGTCTCTCTGCAGGGTGGGGTCTTCCAGGAAGCTGTGGTCCAGGCTCTCCTCGGGGACAAAGTCTTCTACGCTCTGGACTTTCAAGGGAGCAACTGCAGGAAGGGCAGGAAGGGCAGGATCTGGGAAACAAGAGAAGCACCTCAGGGGAACCAGTCGAGCCCTGCCAAAGCCCAGGATCAACTGTGGGTCTGAAGGGCCCACCATGGCACAGAATTTCTCCTTCCCTAAGCTGGCACTGCGCTGCTCTTGTCAGCTCCCACCCCCACCAAACTACCACCCGAGGACCCAGATTCCTATATCTTTCCAGCACTGCACCCTCACCTGGAGAGGGAGCACCAGTCTCGGGAGCTGGGGAGGTCCCAAAGAGCCGAGCGATGATACCACGTTTCTGCGGTGCAGCTGGTGCAGGAATGGCTGCGGGTGGCTGGGCTTCCGGCGGCAGCCCTGGTGCTGGAGGATCAGCGGGGTCCGTGGCAAGGGCGGGGTTGGCCAAGCTCTGCTGGGGGGTGCCGGGGCTGGAGCCCTCCGAAGCATTGCCCGGTGGAACCACCGGAGACTGGGAACCTGAGGAAAGGCTCTGCCCATTGGTGGCTAAAGGAGAGGCATGTCCCCGGCCACGAGCTTCCATCATTTCGAGGAACCTGTCGGGGAGAGAAAACGTAATCTCGGGAGCTTCCCCCAAACTGAAGAGAGGCCAGGCTTGAATGACAATTCCTGGGATTTTTTTTTAGCGGGAAGAAGAGCGGCTTCCAGAAAAGCCCCCAGACAGAACCCGAAATAAGAAGGGCAGAGGGGGGAGTGTCCTCATCAGACATACAGCTCATAGTTCTGGTCTTCGGTCTCCTGCTGCACGGAGAGTTCCTCCAGGGTGGCGTCAATATCCAGCTGATTGGTTTCCAGCTGCCGCAGCAGAGTCTCTCGCTGCAAGAGACGGGAGGGGAGATCACCTGCTTCAGAGCAGGCAAGGGGCTGCTCAGGCATCACCACCTCCCCTCCTCTGCCCCAAGGGGGAGGTCATGAACTGAACAGCCACTTGTGGCCAGTGAGGTGACAGTCTCAGGTGCAAAACAGCAGATGGTGGGGGTTCCCCACCCAAAAGATTGAGATTGAGATGCTTTATTTGTATGCCGCCCTTTTCCCTGGGGGGACTCAGGGCGGCTCACAACTCAAGGGGAG